GAGGCAGGAGGAGGCCGTGCTGGGAAGGCGACCTATCCCCTGAGCATGGGGACAGCATGTCCCTCCTCGGACCCAGGAGGCCCGTCTTCCCCGGGGCCCTCAGGGCTCCCGGCGCCGCCTTGACCCTGCCTGGCTGGGGGCGGGAAGGGCCACCGGGACTGCTCCAGGGACAGTGTCCAGAACTCTGTGTCTCTCTGCGAGGCCTCCTGGGCCAGGTGGGTGGCACCTGGGACGGGGATGGGGACCCCTGGGTGGCTCCTTTCCTCTCCTGCCGCTGTCTAAGGAGCCGTGCGTGCATCCGGACGTCAGGCCACTCCCCCGAGCCTGGGGCCATGGGGTGCACGGTCCCCACTCTGGCCTGGGACCTTTCTCCAGAAGCGGCCCTGGGCCCGGCCCGCATGTCCCGCGTCTGGCCTGCGGTGCTTGCCTTCCCTCCATCTGCCCCCACAGCGCCGCCTGATGCGCAGGGCAGGGCCAGTGTCTCAGAGGGAATCTCCAGGGGGTGAGGCATGGACAGGGACCGGACTTCATGTGAGAGCCAGGAACACCTGCGGCCTCCAACGACCAACTTATTGTCAGCTCAATGTCAGCTCAATGCCAGCTCAATGTCTGCTCAATATCCACTCAATGCCAGCTCAATCTCAGCTCAATGTCAGCTCAATGCCAACTCAATATCAGCTCAATGCCAGCTCAATGCCAGCTCAATGTCCGCTCAAGGTCCGCTCAATGTCAGCTCAATGTCAGCTCAATGTCCGCTCAATGCCAGCTCAATATCCGCTCAATGCCAGCTCAATGTCAGCTCAATGCCAGCTCAATGCCAGCTCAACGCTAGCTCAATGTCAGCTCAACATCAGCTCATTGTCAGCTCAATGTCAGCTCAATGTCCGCTCAATGCCAGCTCAATATCCGCTCAATGCCAGCTCAATGTCAGCTCAATGCCAGCTCAATGCCAGCTCAACGCTAGCTCAATGTCAGCTCAACATCAGCTCATTGTCAGCTCAATGTCAGCTCAATGTCCGCTCAATGCCAGCTCAATATCCGCTCAATGCCAGCTCAATGTCAGCTCAATGCCAGCTCAATGCCAGCTCAACGCTAGCTCAATGTCAGCTCAACATCAGCTCATTGTCAGCTCAATGTCAGCTCAATGTCCGCTCAATGCCAGCTCAATATCCGCTCAATGCCAGCTCAATGTCAGCTCAATGCCAGCTCAATGCCAGCTCAACGCTAGCTCAATGTCAGCTCAACATCAGCTCATTGTCAGCTCAATGTCAGCTCAATGTCCGCTCAATGCCAGCTCAATATCCGCTCAATGCCAGCTCAATGTCAGCTCAATGCCAGCTCAATGCCAGCTCAACGCTAGCTCAATGTCAGCTCAACATCAGCTCATTGTCAGCTCAATGTCAGCTCAATGTCCCCTCAATGCCAGCTCAATGTCAGCTCAATGCCAGCTCAATATCAGCTCAATGCCAGCTCAATGCCAGCTCAATGTCCGCTCAATGTCAGCTCATTGTCAGCTCAATGTCAGAGTAGTGGGACATGTACCCACCCCTGGGGGTGCCACACTGGAGGGGACCCTCATCTCCCCCTGTCCCTGCAGCCCTGGGCCTGTCAGGGCTCCCTCTGTGCTCCGAGGGCCAGCTGACCTGCTGTCCTGATTGGCTCCTGGGGAAGGTCTGTTACTCAAAAGTTCTCCTTTAACACTATTAGTGAATAATAAGAAAGTTTTTTTATTTTAAAACTGTTTTCAAACATTTTATACATGTGAAAATTATATTGATTTCTGTTTGTTATTTATAAATTAAATGACATTTTAGAGAAGATGTCAGAAAATAGTTTTCAAAACCCAATGAGAAAATATTTCATCAATGGCAAATTAGAAGCTTTAAATACCTATAAACTTTCTATTACAAATATTACATAATCTCATTGATGACCCAAGAGAGAAATATTTACTTTTTTCATTATTCATTTCTATGGCCCTTGGCCTTGAGCTCGTCGCCCAGGCCCGCGTAGAGGGCGGCGCCCACCGAGCCGCACGCGTACTTCTTGTGTC